TAGACGCACCCCATACTTCTTAAAACAGTACTCATCGACATCACCCAGGGATTTCGGCAGTGATGGGAACAAATCATTCGATGTGGCATTCGACGGGTCATAGAGGTGTATCTCAGTGCAGGCCTAAGATACAATAGACTTAAACTGTGGGCTTCCCTGTCCTTTTCTCGATACAACTCACGCAAGAGTGGCTACCGTCAACCCAAATTCCTATGCCTGACTTCGCGTCAGATTTCTTCAAATTTGCTGCGGAGATTCACTGACTATCAGATTCTGCATCACATAAATTACATCTAAGCCAAATATATAGTAATGCTTTTTTTCAAAACGCATATTGGAAATTCAAAAAAATCATTTAGCACTGCATTTTGAAATCCAATACTTCTAGACTTGGTTCTACCTATTTCGGCATTCAAATAGCATTGCACAATTAACCTTAAATGCAAAAAAGCGTATTTAGATGCGTTATTCGATTAAAATTGGCGATCTAAAGCACGCTCTATGCAGAGAAGTTCGAGATTCGGACGTCGATAACACAAGAATAGTATTGAAACACTAAAGGTTAGTCATAGCGGTTACCTGAAAATCCCACGCAACGGAGTCGTTGCCCAATCCGCATCCTGTTACGTCAGCACAATCAATGTATTGGGTCTTGTAGTCAAAACACAACTCTGTAATGATATACACATGTGCACGTATAAACACCTTTGAATTTTCTTGACATGAAGTTGGTTGGTATTATAAACACCACGACCCAAGATAGTAAATCACGGTAAATCAGAGCGATGATTGGTTTGGCAACTGGCCTACACCAAATAAAATCCGGTTCCATAGTGGTGTACTCTGAGGTCCTCATGAAACATAGCAAGTAAGCAGCATCCAAAAAGATTCGGCTACCATTCGTAACAACAACAGAACCACTTTACCAATATAACTCAAAGGGAATCGAGAATTTCACCAACCCGAACTGCGGTCGTAGAGAACGCCAACGGCCTCCCTAAGCCCAGCCAGAGGGTTTTGGACGCCAAACTCGATGGCCTTATTGCAGGAAACATTGACGGGATTCGCGGGCAAACCGTAGCTAGGGTAGGGATAGTTCATCATGCTCATTACCACAAAGGCATTGCGCGACCACCGAAGCATCCAGTCGAGATCTTGCCCTGTCTCCAACAGGGTACAGAGGTTCAACTCCGCTGTTACATTCTTCAAGCCTGAGAAAAACATTTAATCCATTTGTTTCTTTGAAACGGCTTTGGAGCAACATGCATTTAACAAACCAGGTGTTAAATTTAATTAAAGGTCTGTGAACTACAAATGAAAGCAAATACTAGTTTATTCCTCTTCAAGGTAGCAACAATCAACAAGTTCAATGTATCATTTACACTTGAAGATCTATTCCTTAAATCAAGTATAAGGATGTGATCCGACAAATTTATTCGCTAAACTAAAGCGCAGTCGATTATTAATACTCACCGCTTGTTCCCTCTCGACTTCGTCTCAAAATTTCTGAGTAGGCGGCCTGGATTATAGGAACGCATAATTCACTTACATTGAAGTAAGCCTACAAGGAAGTAAGTCAGAACAAATTAACCCCTGAAACAAACCTCCTTAATTGATTCAAAAAACGGATGCAGGCCTTCTTCGCCGGTAACCCACTTAAAGGGAGCGCTAGCAGCGACTGCACCAGTGATAATATGAGGATACCGAAGCCTCATGTAAGCCGCTAACATGCCACCATAGCTAGTTGCAAAATAATTAGGATAAACGTCACAGAACCTTCCACCGAAAGCGATAACTGGTGATGAGGTAGCATTGAATTGAATTTTCAGCACTGATATTAAATCAGCGAAATCTGCCATGGCCTCCTGAATTGAAAGGAATCCTATGTAAGGCTGGACGAAGCTGTTGAGAAATGGTGTTGACTCGCCATAGTAACGCTACAGTGAGAAACCTCAACTAACTTCCTAAAGATTTAAATTACGTGTTCGGCAAACACGATAAGAGCATTGAACATTGGAGCAATATCAAACATGAAACCGGTGTTATTCCAGAATTCCAAAATGTTGCCTTCGTTTCCACAGTAAAAGAAGATTGGGCCTCCAGTTCTATACCATATATCTAACAGAAAATTCACATTGGACGAAATTATCATACCCTCGTAAACAAACCGCTGTTTAAAGGTCAGCGGATGGAAATGAAAGTCGAAATGTGAAACTACTTGCTCATAGGTACCAATTTTGGGGGGCCACGGGGAAGCACCATTCTGGCATGAAACAGCAACAAGTAAGAAGAAAAACACCAAGACCATGGCTAAAACAACAAAAAAGACTTATTTCTCTAAAACAGAACAAGTAAAAACATTAGTGACCAGCATCAGCACTGAAACAACCAAGAGTCTCAACCATAGCAAGCAAATAAAAATTCCTTCAAAATCTCTGTTTGTCAAAAGCAAAGAGAATGCCTCACTCAAACACCAAGTCTGTAAAAAAGCAGTGGGTTCTTCTAAGCACAGCCAGGACTCCCAGGTCAGGGCTTATAGTTAAACGATTCGATTCAATAAAATAGAACCTATTCGAACCTGAGCATTAATAACTCAGTGAATATGAAAAGACAAGAAATCAAAAGCAGCAAAACACGACCCATTTGTAAAAGTGCCCTTTACAATATGTGTAGGGTTTGGTACATTCAAACAAGCAAAAAACCAAATTAGTAAAACGTCTGTGAAAGCACAAAAAAATTTGAATGGCACAATTAAGTGCATAACTCGTTTTTATTATGTTATTGTTTTTTGTATGAGCATATTCAAATATTATGAAGTTGCTGGTTGAGCTACGACTTCCTTCCCAAAAAGATTACCACCTCCTATTCCTCAAACGCTAAATTATGACAATGATTACAATCCTATACATAAGGGCTTATAATCTGTGATAGGTGCGAGGGACGACCCAAACCTCCAATGCAGCCACCTAGACTACTGTAGCGTCCCGAGACTCCCTGAAGACGAAAGAAGACACAATACTTGGACAGAATATATATTCAGTGCAGAGAAGCCGTCTGGGCTATTGGCATGGCCCGAAAGGCCAGCCCACCCAGCGAGGTACAAGAGGGCTAATTCAAAGTATCAAAGTGGCGCCTCACCAATACCGAGGGATAAACCACTATTGTATTACACTACAGTAGAGGTCGTAAGTAACCATACCAGTAGGGAAAATCCACTATTGCAACACAGAAGAGTCCAAAAACTTTTTTTTGACTTATCTGCAAGTAATTTTAAATTGGATATGCTCAGTGCAAACTATTTATATTGTCACAAACAAACTCGGTCGAACGTTAGTGCGGGCGATATTGCATCATATATCATGTTCTGATGAAATGTTAACATCCCCAAATCCAGGCGTAATTCGTGCCAAAACTAGGGCCTTACCTTCATATTAGAGCACTGGCTTCCTTTTTTCAGCATTAACCTTTAAAAATACACTGCAAAAATAGTAAGTTCTTCGTTAATAGTAGAGTAGAAACCCTACTGTTTATGCTAAAATACCATAAATTTGCTAGCCTGGGCACACGATTTGCAACTGTGCGGCGGAGCCCCATGTAATGACCGCCAGACCTTTCTTGTTATGCGCCATCTTCAGTGCCATGACTGGACCCTGTTCTCTGTGAACTGCCACCGGTGACATCAAATCGAAAATGTCCCATATATATATACATCCGTTTCTACTCCCTGAGATAATTATTCTACCAGATGTCGACACACCTACACCAGTAACGCCCGTGGTGGCCGCATCCTCATCAGTGATCTGATTGTTCCCCTCGTCGTCCATTCCAGAATGATTCAGATACTTATTTTCAGTACTGACAAATCCGTCACCTGTTGTGCTCTTGGCGTCGGTCCGGTTGTAACTTGCCAATGGAAAATCGAGTCGCACATCGTAAAGATTAACCGCCGCGTCATCGGACCCTGTAACAAACGTATGCTCATTCGCGTGCCGCTCCACGCAACTGATCTCCGATTCATGACCATGCATAGAACAAACGAACGGCCTGGACTGCCGTACATCCCAGATGCGCGGAACCCCGTCGGTTGCACCACTGACAAAAGACCGGCCGTCGGAAGAGAGTGGAAGTACAGCCGAAACATCAGTATTGTGGGAGCACTTGCTTAGCATCTTTACATTATTAATATCCCACAAAACCACCCCATCCACCGACGCTGCAGTGAGTA